GCCCATGTGCAAGGCACATGGGGGATATTCTCTCTAACCACCTTGTCCGAGGAGTGACCTCCGAGGAGGTGACTTCTCCGAGGATGAGAAAACCCGAAGAGGAGATCAGTCCCTCGGCGAACCCTTCTTCTTAGCCACACCTAACCAATGATCCCCAATCATCCCAGAAGGTCAGGGGTAGTCCCAGAGGACGCCCTGCCGCAAAATATGCCGAGTCTCATGGACCCCTCGGGGTCGTGCCACCTCGACCCGGGTATAGGCTAGTTTAATCGAAGAGTGAATTTATCTCCACTCACCGTCCCCGTCTTCGGGATCGGGTCCTTTGTTCGGACTCCATTACGCCCATGGTTCTGGTGCGTAGATCCCGGAAAGCTCCGAGCCCGCAAGTGTTCTGGGACTCATTAACGGAGCGACTTCTAGATTGCGTCTGAATCCGTTCGAAGCCAAGTACTTCGGATCTCTAGATTCGTGGGTCCGAATCCTTTCGAGTCCGAGTGCCTCGGATCTCTAGGCTTGCTTAATACCCTTTCGAGTCCGGGCCCGAGTAAGTCTCTAGGTTCGTGGACCCGAACCCTTTCGAGGCTTACAGCGATTCAATCCGTTTGATGGCGATAAATCTGGGCCCACCGATTCTTGGACTTGCGATAAATTCGGGCCTACTAATCTTGGGCTATTGGGCCTAAATAATTTAGTGGGCTCAAATTAGCCCCTCTTACACATTTTTTAAGACCTGTCAATTAAATTATGCATATAAAAAAGTAAATTAATTAAACATTAATAATTACATGATGAAAGTCACATCTAACATAAAAAGTAAGAAAAATAAATAAAGAATCAGTTGATATTATTTTTTGAATACATTATCCAATTTAGAAAGACATACAAAATCATCATGTTTTAGTTAGGACTAATCAATTGATTTTTTTTTATATATAGGTTCAAATTATAAAAACAAAAGTAATTATCTATTCACGAAGGATTACCCATTAACAACAAATCATGTAATTACATAACTAAAAAATATATAAATACATAAAAAAATTATAAAATATTATTAATTGGACACAAGATGAATCGTCATCACGGTTTTTGTAAATGTTGAATAATGTTGGAATTAATCTAGCCATATTTGGGAACAACAATGTTATGCATCAGGAAAATTGTTCAGAGGATGATCATGAACATTTTTCATCTTGAATTAGTTTTTAATGTTTTATTATACGTTATGTAATCACATACACTGAGTTACAACCTGTTAATTATACAGTATTGTAAGACAAAACTAAAATTATAATATTTGTGAAGTAAGACTTTAAAAACAAAATATATTTACATTAAAGTTCTTGATATTATTTTTCATGCCACTTTACTTCATCTATTGTGAATATATTTTATACCTTTCAACGAGTAGACTATGTGTAATCTCTCTTAGTGAATATTATTTTGCTTCTAAAAATTATTTTTAAAACATACAATCAAATAAATTTTCAAATTTTGTAACTATTTTCAAAAAATTATTTTTCAAAATTGATTATGAAAACTAAACCAAACGGACCAAAAGTGTTTTTTTCAAAACTCTATGTTTAGTTTGTTTCTCAGAAAAAATATTCAGAATTTTTTTTTTCAAAAAATGAATAGTAATGCGATGAAAATAAATATCAAAAAAATATTTATATATTTTTTAAAATTATTTTTAGCGTTCCAAAAGATAAATTTATATAAAAATATTATATTTTTTTAATTTCTTTTACCAAATTAAATTTTAATTTTTGAGAAAAAAAATTTCTAAACCAAGTTTATGAAAATAAAACCAAACATGGGCTTCGCTTTTTCTTTTTTTTTTCTTCTTGTTTTGTTATCTACCATACTAAATTATTTCTAAAAGATTCCTAAAATGTTTTCTCATATATGTATTTTTTTTTCATGAAACCTAACATTTTAGATTTTGGAATCAACATTTCAATCAAAAATTTTAAAAATTATTATTAATTATTAAATTATTTTCTCTATATTTGTACATATCTCTTTATAAAAATTAATTAAAATAATTCATTCTCAAAATAATCCTCAATAATTAACTGTTGGAGCTACTGTTACAAAGAGGACAGCCCGATCCTCATTATCAGACCTCGCTGGCATTCAAGAAACATTAACATCTCAACCGGTCAACCTTTACAAAACGTCAATGAAAGCTACTGTTTTCTCTCTCGTGGTACCATAGATTGTGATTGATAGAGGAATGAGACCCTTCATTTCATCGATGGCTTGTGGCTTGTTATTGACCACAAATATGGCCATGTGGTACTATTAATAAATAATTTTTTCATGTTAGGAGCTGTTTGAAATTAATTATTTTAATTAAATTTTTATCAAAAAAATAAATTAAAAAATAAAGAGAGTGATGAAATGAGTATTTTGATTTTTTTATTACTTTAACACAAAAAAAAAAAAAAAAAAAACGAACATGAGTTTTTCAGAACATTTAAAAAAGTCATTTTTTTAAATTTTTTTTAAAGTAATTTCTTTTTAAATTATGTCAAAAGAATTTACTTTTTCAATTTGTTTTGTATATATGAATCTAAAACTTTAAAAAAAGAAATCAAAATTTTCAAAAATAAAAAAATCAAAATAAGTCAACAAAATCCATTATTTTTTTTGCTTACTTTTATCTTTTTTGACCTTTTTTGATTTTTTTTTTTGATTTTTTGGTTCATTTCATTGAGAAAAATTAAGAAGCCAAAGTTTTTCGAAAAATTTAAAAAGCATTTATTAAAAAAATGAAAAGTAAACTTAAAAAAATCAACAAATAAGCAAATCTAAAACACCCATTAATATCACATAGTTGCATGCTTAACCAATTATTTCTGTGATTTTCTCATAATGTTTTTATCTTTTTGGACCATGTAAGCGCACAATTTCTCACTTTTAAATAGGCACAGACCTATCTTGAAACTCATAAAAAATAAAATAATTATCCTTTAACATTGGTACTCTCTCTACTATTGGTTTCAACGGCAATACCGCTCATTTGGTAAAGGGCATGTTTCTCTTTAGTTCATTGTGTTGTGGGTTCGTGTGACTCATTACATGTATTTTGTCAATTATTTAAATTGTGTAACGTATAAAGTTTGTTGAATATTTTATCTCTATAAAAAATGAGTATTTCATCTTTACAAAAAATACTTTTATTGAATTTTAATAGGTACTTGATCAAAAACATATTTTGTTAATAATTTATTTTTAAAATCATATTTGCCATTAGCAAAAAATATGATCTAATGGAGGGGGTCTCGATATTCGATCAAAATGATTTTTTGCAAGCATGAAATATTCGACGAACTTTACACGTTGAACGGTTCGAATTATCAAAATGAGACCCATAGTGAGCCCCACGAGCCCAACAATACTGTCTTGTCTACAAAGTGAACTGAAGATAAGTTTTGCCTTTTGTTAAATACTACTATTAAGAGTTAATTATACTAAATCTCCTTAAACCATCACTCATTTACATTTCATCTTTTTGAACTTCAAAATTAAACCGTTAATCATCTCAAAATATTATCTTATTACAATTAGTATCTTCTGTTAAGATTATGTTATTTAAATGAATAATATTATATACACCAATTAGTGTACCAATTAATGATGTGGTATAATATAAGAGATTTTTGGTATTTATAATTTGTATGATGAGTAGGGTCAATAATAATATCATGATTAGTATTGGTATACTAATTAATACATTAATTGGTATATGTAACACTAACATATTTAAATGGAATCAAATCATTTGCAAATCAAATGAGGCACTTATTGATTTTTTAATAAAATAATACTCTTTTTTGGAATTTAATCATTCCAACAGAGGAATATATGATGTAAAAAGTGAGTTGAGATCCTCTCTTTGAGCTCCCTTCTCCTATCCTTACTTGCAACGGTATAGATGCAAAATTGAGTTGATCTAATGGTTCATATTTGACTATTTAAAAATAAAAAAATAATAAAAAAAATTCAAATTTGCTTTTCCCGCTCAAATCTAGACCATTCACTACAAAAATTAACACTTTTGGCAACAAAAAAATTGGTCGCTAAAAGTCAATTTTTGGTCGGCAAAAGTTATCTGCGACCAATTTTTTTGGTCGCTACTTTGGTCGCCAATTGAGGGTCGGCAAAAGTAATTCGCGACCAAAATTGTGGTTGGTCGGCAAAAGTTAGATTTCGCGACTAAATTTTTGGTCGCTAAATATTTAATTACCGCGACTAATTTATTTTGTCGCCAAAACACTTTGGTCGCGAAAAGTGATATTTTCCAGACCAAAAAGTTTGGTCGCCAATTATCACATTCAACGACCAAAAAGTTTGGTCGCCAATTGTGACATTCCGCGACCAAAAATTTTGGTCGCCAATCGTAACATTCCGCGACCAAAAAATTTTGGTCACCAATCGTGACATTTCGCGACCAAAAAGTTTGGTCGCCAATTGTGACATTCCACGACCAAAAAAGGTTTTGGTCGCCATTTGTTACTTTTCGCGACCAAAACTTTTGGTCGGCAAAAGTGAGTTTCCACGACCAAGAGCTGTTTTGGTCGGCAATAGATGTATTTTTTGCGACCAAAACTCTTGGTCGGCAATTGTCATTTTTTGCGAAAAAAAATTATTTATTTGTCGCGACAAATAAATTGGTCGCCAAAGCAAGAAAACAATACACCGGTAATTCCTAATAATTCATTCAATACATAATAAATCTATAATGTTAAAACATCATTCAAATTAACTGAATCATTAACATTCGACACAATACAACTATTCAATATTTAAAAATTTCCATGTTGACGTGTCCATGTCCATGCTTCTTAAGTTATCCTTAATTATCTTTGAATCAACAAATAAATTGGTCGCCAAAGCAAGAAAACAATACACCGGTAATTCCTAATAATTCATTCAATACATAATAAATCTATAATGTTAAAACATCATTCAAATTAACTGAATCATTAACATTCGACACAATACAACTATTCAATATTTAAAAATTTCCATGTTGACGTGTCCATGTCCATGCTTCTTAAGTTATCCTTAATTATCTTTGAGTCAACAAGCCATATCTTCTTGCAGCTTTCTTCTAATGGGGCTTCAGTCTACATAAAAAATTAAGGTATAAACTTTCACCATGTTTTGTTAATTTTGTAATCTGATTGCAACTTTGCAAGAAACTGAAAGATAAGATGTGTAGGAAATGAAAATAACATTGTAAGTTCTCACCTGTTTTGACATCTCCAGAGCTATGAGTTCTGCAATGCCAGTGCCAGCCTACATCAACCAAGTGACAGAAGTGAGAAAAAAAAATATGACCAGTTGGCCAGTGAGGGAGTGAATAAATTACAAAAATGGGGAATATATGCCGAATATCCTATTCAATTAGTATAGCAATTCAAATTTTATTAAATTGAATCTTCAGGGAAGACTAGTAAGAGCACACCTCTCCTGCTCCAAGGAACAGAAATATGTGCTCGGCTAAGGTTCCCCCAACTAACTTTAATGCTGCCATAAGCCCTGCAAGGACCACGGATGCTGTCCCCTAGAACAAAATAAATAACACAAATATTAAAAATACTTTACACCCAAACCCACACAAATGCACATAGCAGCTCACTCAAATAGAAAAATGAAAACAAAAAATAAATGTACATACTACTGAGCCCCAATCATTTACCTGTATGTCATCATTGAAAACAAGATGTGTATTGCCATACTTTGCAAGCAGATCAAAAGCATTATGGTTTGCAAAGTCTTCAAACTGCATAATATAGGTCAAGGTATAGAATTTGAAAACTATCCAATGACTATATAAAAACATAAGCCTGTAATTTAGGGGAAGGTGACTAGCCTGAATGAGGACTTTCTCCCCATAGTTCTGCTTGACTGCAGTCATAAATTCATGCAAAAGTTCAGCATATTCCTGGAGAGGAAAAAATTAAAACACTTCAACAATATACAAACTAAATCCTATAAACATGTACATCATATTGAGACAACTAGCTGGCATAATAAAACTGCAACTTATCAATTCTTATACTGAAAAGTAGCAACCTTTACTATGACAGTCAACATTACAATATCTGACCAAGGAAACCTGGTGAGACCTTATATTATCTTGTAGAAATGGTAATCAACAAGTACTTCTCTAAGTTTTATTTGATTGTTAATTTTAAATAAAATTCATGATGTATCATATCAGTAGCATTTGAATGGTTTTAATGAACAGTGATTCACCCATTAAGCTAGCTACTGTATAGACGGCACATACTAGATCCAACCAATTGATACATACATTATCCAGAGTTGACTATAGTCTAAAGAATTCCCTTGTTTCTGAATCATTTCAAGGGTATATGGCTGTATATGTGATTTTATAAGCAGCTACAAATGTCTCTGTAAGTCTGTTAAACCATATAGGAAGCATCAATACCGCCTTGTCCATTGTTGTGCAATCCTGATCCGACTTTAAATTTACAGACAGGACAAGTTCCCTGCTGGCGCAGCCACGGATCAATGCAGATGGCATGGAACTGCAAAATAAGAACATTGTTACTACATTTTGCCAACCACAAGCAGCCAGCCCAGATGGCCTGGAACTGCAAAATAAGATACATGGTTGCAACATTATACCAATAGCATAGGTTCCACACCCAGAGCCGGCCTGAGATATTCCCGGCCTCATATATTTAGATAGGAATTTAGAAATGAAAAAGGAAAAGATGAAAAAGAAATGTGAAATCTTTTTCCTTTCTCTTTCTAAATTACTATCCAAATCCATGACGCTTTTATACATAATTTTTTTGGGAAACAAAATGACACTTTTTTTTTTTAATTTGCTAATATTCACACAAATTCTACTTGTATATATAATAACAAATTATATACTACATTATTTAAATAGATCAAGATATGAAGAAATCATTGTAATAATTAAAAAATATAATTTATTGCTTTATAATTTAACAAATCTAGATTACAACAAAAGTATTGCACTATGAAGATAGAGGCATCTCACCAATTGAAGCATTACTCAATATCAAACTTTTCTTTTGGAAACATGTAAAACATTACCTTTTTCTATTTTGAATAAATATATGAAGGGTGAAAAAAGATGAGGCAAAGGTGTGGTGCTAAATTATAGAATAGAAAAGGATGAATATGATGAGAAGTGAGATGACATAAAATATAACATTGAGATGAAGCCTAGCATTAGGCTACCAAAAAACAACCATAAAGAGATGGCCTGAGCTGGTAGTGTGGATTAAGGTGATACTTGCGTCTTTCTTTCAATTAATTTGATCAATTATCATGAGCTGATTATTCTTATACTGAAAAGTAGCAACCTTGCATGCCTACATGGACAGTGATACCTTATCAATTCTAGAAGCCTTACCTGCTGCATGAAAATCAATGAAAATATATGAGGTATAGGGCAAGAATGCATGTCTTCAATTGCATAGAGGAGCAAGTCTACAAGACTAGACCATTCCAGAATTTGTTGCTTTAATACAAGGCAAAGGAAAACTATACCAGTTTTGCACATTGATGTTAGGACAACACAAAACTACACTAATCATTGTTAATATTTTTTATTTTTGTCTCTACCATGATGGGTATTTATTGAGTGACACATGTCAAACAGTTATGACCTCTAAGGTACAAATGTTACTGAGTTTACAAGGTGCAGACTGCTAAAAAGCTTAATTCCTTTGTAGATATCAGCATCTGATGGTGAAAAAGGGAAAATCAGGTGCATTTTGGGGTCCACACTAGTCAAAAAGTGTAGTATATTTTTGTCTTCATCTTCAGAATCCTCTACCTTTCAACACCCATGTTTTAATCTGCTATCTCGGAGACATCACAAATGAGTTGGACACACCCATGTTTTAATCTACTATCTCGGAGACATCACAAATGAGTTGGACACACCCATGTTTTAATCTACTATCTCGGAGACATCACAAATGAGTTGGACACACCCATGTTTTAATCTACTATCTCGGAGACATCACAAATGAGTTGGACACACCCTCTTATAAGCGCTTTGCACCATTATGTGATCAATGGGGTGCAATTTCTTTCTTTGTGTTATTGCGTTACTGGCATTTCTAAAATCTATAGGGGTTCTCATTGTGGAAAATCTTGTTTTGGGTATTGTAACACCACCGTGAGTGTGATGGTTTTGTGGGATGACCATATTGTGATTTACTCGAGGAATGTTGAAGAATAATTTGGAGGAAAACCAAGTGTTTTGGAACAAATGGGATAGATTAAACGTTTTTTTAACTTGAACGGAATATCTTATACCATGTGTTGAGAAGTCACATGTTGATCTAGCCTAAGTTACTGGTTACATGTTGTATGTCCTTTGGCAAGGGCTTAGAATTGTCGGGTATTGATGTGCCATGACGTTATTGATTATTAGTGTTCTATTTTGCGTTCTCGTTCTACAAGAGTTGACTGAAAGCTTTATGTGCGAGTGGTTTCCTTTCTCCTTTGTTGGAGTGTTAAACACTCAATGGTGATTCGAGTATTGTAAGTAGTCAAGTCATGGTGGATGTCATGAAGCACGGTTGTTATTGACGACGTTGTTACTATTATTATCGGGGGAATGTGTTCTTGTCTTATAAACCGCTGCGAGTTTGGCCGGTTGGAGAGGTAATCATATTCGTACCTTGTTGTTGAGTCGAGTCTTGTGAAGCAAGACGATTTTATTAGTTACGGCATCATGGAAACATCTCGAGATTGAGGAAGCTACTTGGGAGCGTGAATTAGAAATCCGTGAGAAATATTCGGACTTATTCGTTGGTATTTGAACATATGTCGAGATTTTAGTTTGTTAATGAAATGTTAAAACATTGTATATGTTGTGGTTGTCTTGAAAACATCGATTTAATATGAGCATTGTATATGTTCTGGGAATATAGAATATTGTATGTGTTGTATCAAATTTGAAAACATTGTATATGTTTTGGATTATGAAAGCATTGTGAATGTTGAATATGTTTCGGAAACGCAAGTTTAATTTGAACATTGTATATGTTGTTTAATTCTTGGAAATGCAAATTTATCATAAATATTGAATATATTTTGGAAATATGAGATGCTCGTATTGAAATTGGTTAAATTCAGAAGATTCATATTGATAATATTTGTTGAGATGTATCTATTGTGGAATTGTTCTTTTGTGGAAGGATTGGATGACCGGTAGGTGGGTCATGGTAATGAGAATTGAATTGTAATCATTTGAAAATTGGGTAATCATGGTTTTGAAACTTGTACTAAAATTTCGGGGATGAAATTTCCTAAAGTGGGGAGGTTGTAGCACCTGTATCTTTCAAAGCTTTTGGGGAAGTGTATTCGAATCCTTTATTTTTATTTTTATTTTGGAAATCTTTGGTGTTGTTGTACGTTGGTTTTGGAAGAGTATAATCCGATTTAAACTTGTTGGGTTTTGTTGTTCGTACTTATTCTTGTCAAAAGTTCCTTGAAGACTTAGAAATTCTATTCTAGGGTCGACACCAGCCTTCCTAAGGGTCAACCCTTATCTGTTGGTGAAGTTTCTGGGAGTGTTGTTGGAAAATAGGGTAGACACCAGACTCGAGAGGGTCGACCCTCTTATGTTTGTGTGTTAGTTGCTGGAAGATAGCATAGACGCAAGACTGGGAGAGGGTTGACCGTCTTATGTATGTGTGTTGGTTGCTGGAAGATATGGTCGACCCCCTCCTGTCTAAGGGTCGACCCTGCATGTTTTTTTCAGATTTTTGAGGTCCGAATGGGCCCTATTTAAGGGGGTTTTTGGGCCCATTATTTTATTTGACCTTGGGGCTTTTCCTCACTATTATAAATAGGCTCAAACCATTTTTCTCCCATGATTTTCCTTCCCTTTTTCCTTTTAAACCGTGATTTCTTTCTTCTATTTCTAAAACCCAAACTTTTTCACTTAAATCTCTAGATCTACTCACCTAGAGTAATCTTTTCACCTTGCTCCTTTAAGATGAAATGTAGAGCTTGTTAAGGGCTTCGTTTTGATCAGGGCAAAACGTGGTTTCGTCGCCATTGACTTTTGAGCTTTCTCTTCTCTCTCTCATCTAAGCTTGAGGTAGGGATATTCTACTCTTTAATATGAGCTTTAATCTAGATATTTGTCATTTTGTATAAATGGTGGGGTTTGGGAAGATTTTGGTATAAGTTAAGGTTTGGGTTCTAAACTAAAGGGGGTTTTTCATGTTGATTTACAAAGTAACCTTGGGGGTTTGTGTATGAGGTTCTTTATTGCTAAAGTGGTGAGATTTGGACCTATGGGTTGATATTTTGGAAAAAAAGAGAAATTTTGCCCTAAGTTGAGTTGAAATAACTATTTATGTAAATAACGAAATTGGTTTGGGAATTGTGAAATTGGGAGAAATGCGATTGAATGGTGTAGTTTGGTTTGACAAATCACACACCTATGGAATTTGATAAATTATCTGTTGATAAATTTATTTATCCGTTTAGATATATCTGTTTTGGGCTATCGATGGAGGATAACTATGATTGTTGTAAAAACTGCATGAGAATTAGGATGATTGAAACTAATCAAATGAATTATGTCATTGAATATGACAGTTTGATTAAACCATTGAATATGTGTTTTGATTAGTCATTGTATATGATAAAGTGTTTGAATACATTGTATATGTATCTTTGTTTGGAAGGAGATAGGGGATGTACTCAATTGTTTGGGAAGAGATAGGGGATGGACTCCATTGATAATTAAGTAAGTTGGCCGGAGTGTCCAGCTTGGAAGTCCTAAAATCTTATATATTTATGGGTGCCGGTTCCCTCGGACGTGGTTTCGTAAAATAGCAAGAAATAAAAGTGTTAGATTTGATGAATGTATTGAATTGTGAACCATTGAGTTGTAGTCTCATATTGGTTGCTTGATAATAATGAATTTGGCTAATTGATTTACCCGAAATGGTAGAATGGAAATGAATTGAGATATTGGTTATCTATATTGAATGACCTTGAAAAAAATGTGTTGGTTAAGAATGTTGTACATTTATCTGATGCTCATATTTTAGATAAGATGAGTGTGACTGAGATGAGGATGCTAAAGTGGATGTGTGGCAAGACTAGGCAAGACAGAATTAGGAATGAGTGTATTTGGAAATGGGTAGGAGTAGCACCGATAGAAGATAAGTTGAGAGAGAATCGATTGAGATGGTTTGGTGAAGCCCTAGGTCTCTCTCTCTCTCTCTCTCTCGCTTCTCTCACCCTCGATCTCCTCTTCGTCTCTGTTGCGTCTCTGCTTCTCCCTCTCTCGATCTATGTTGCGTCTCTTCTTCTCCCTCTCTTTCTTCGTCTCTGTTCTCTCTGTCTCTCTCTCTTTCTTTCCCTCTTCAATTTTATTATTTTGTATAACATAATTTATCATATATAATATAATATATATAATATAATTTATAATTTATAAATTATAAATTATATTATATATATTATATTATATATGATAAATTATGTTATACAAAATAATGAAATCGAAGAGGGAAAGAAAGAGAGAGAGACAGAGAGAACAGAGACGAAGAAAGAGAGGGAGAAGAAGAGACGCAACATAGATCGAGAGAGGGAGAAGCAGAGACGCAACAGAGACGAAGAGGAGATCGAGGGTGAGAGAAGCGAGAGAGAGAGAGAGACGAAGACCTAGGGCTTCGAAGAGAGGGACGAAGACTAGGGCTTCGACGGGGAAGTCAAACGGCGAGATCGAAGTCGTCGAACGGAGGATCGAAGCCAGCGACCAGGTACTCCGTTTGCCCTCTCAATAGTGCTCCCTTCCCGCAT